TCGCTGCGCTGCTCTCTAAAACTGCAATGTAAACTGCGTGCCCCGATCTGAAATGATAGACACCGGCACACAGTGAAAGTGAACAATCTCGCGGATGTAGATCTCAGCCAACCACTCCGAAGAATAAGTAACCCCAACTGGAATGAAATGCGCGGACTTGGTTAACCGATCCACAATCACCCAAATAGCATCAAACTTTCTCGAAGTCCGTGGGAGTCCAACTACACAATCCATGGTGATACACTCTCATTTCTACTCTTGAATCTCAAGCCTCTGAAGCAATCCACCCGGTCTCTGATGCTCGTACTTCACCTATTGATAATTTAGGCACCGAGCTACAAGCCCCACTATATCCTTCTTCATCCTCCTCCACGAATATTGTTGCCTCAAGTCCTGATACATCTTTGCGGCACCGGGATGAATGGAATACCACGAACTGTGGGCCTCCGCAAGAATCAACTCACGCAACCCATCTACATTGGGTTCACAGATCCGACCCTGCATCCTTAACACCCCATCATGCCCAATAGTAACTTCCTTAGCATTATTGTGCTGAATTGTGTCCTTAAGAAAAACAAATGGGGATCATCATACTGACGCTCTATGATGCAATCATATAAGGAAGACGAAGTAACCACACAAGCTAGAACCCGACTAGGCTCCGAAACATCTAATCTCACAAACTGATTGGCCAAGGACTGAACATCTGATGCAAGCAGTCTCTCACCAACATGAATGAATGCAAGGCTACTCGTACTCCCTGCCTTTCTACTCAAGGCATCGACCACCACATTGGCCTTCTAGGGATGATACATAATGGTGATATCATAGTCCTTTAGCAGCTCCAACCATCTCCACTACCTCAAATTTAGATATTTTTGTTTGAACAAGTGCTGGAGACTCCGATGATCCATAAATACCTCACAAGACACATCGTAGAGATAATGCCTCCAAATCTTCAATGCATGAACGATAGCTGCCAACTCCAAATCATGAACATGGTAGTTCTTCTCATAGGGCTTCAACTGACGCGAAACATAAACAATCACTCTACCCTCATGCATCAAGACACACCCAATACCAATTCGAGAAGCATCACAATACACTGTATAAGAGCCTGACGCTGAAGGCAAAACCTAGAACTGAAGCTGTGGTCAAAGCAGTCTTGAGCTTTTGAAAACTCTTCTCACACTCATCCAACCACCTGAATGGAGCACCCTTTTGGGTCAATTTGGTCAATAACACTGCAATGGACGAGAAACCCTCCACAAAGCGACAATAATATCCGACCAAGCCGAGAAAACTCTGAATCTCAGTAGCTGAAGACAGTCTGGGCCAACTATGAACCGCCTTTATCTTCTTTAAATCCACCTTAATCCCCTCGCTGGACACCATATGCCCTAAGAACACCATCGAACTAAGCCAAAACTCACACTTGGAGAACTCTACATAAAGCTTCTCCTCACTCAACCTCTGAAGTACAATCCTCAAATGCAATTCATGCTCCTCCTGAATACGTGAGTACATCAGGATGTCATCAATGAATACTATGACAAACAAATCAAGATATGGCTGAAACACACTATTCATCAGATGCTTGAATGTTGCTAGGGCGTTGGTTAGCCCAAAAGACATAAAAAGGAATTCATAGTAACCGTAGCGGGTCCTGAATGCCATCTTCAAAATATCTGAGTCCCGGATCTTCAACTGGTGATACCTAGACCTCAAATCAATCATAGAGAACACTCTCGCTCCCTGAAGCTGGTCAAATAGATCATCAATGTGCGGCAAAGGATACTTGTTCTTGATTGTAACTTTGTTCAACTGCCTATAGTCGATGCACATCCGGATAGAACCATCCATCTTCTTCATAAATAGAACCAATGCACCCGAAGGCGATACACTAGACCGAATAAACCCCTTATCAAGGAGCTCCTGAAGCTGTTCTTTCAACTCCTTCAACTCTGTTGGTGCCATACGATACGAAGAAATAGAAATGGGTTGTGTGCCCTACACCAAGCCAATACCAAAGTCAATGTCCCTGTTGGGTGGCATACCCGGCAGGTTTGCAGGAAACACATCCGGAAAGTCTTGAACTACCAGAAAAAAATCAATAGTGGGCGTATCAGCACCAACATCCCTCACAAAGGACAAATATGATAGACACCCCTTCCCAACCATCCGTTGGGCCTTCAAATATGAAATCACCCTATTGGAAACATAATCTAGAGAACCTCTCCACTCGATCTTTGGCAACCCATGCATCGCCAACGTCACAGTCTTAGCGTGACAATCCAGAATAGCATGACATGGAGACCGCTAATCCATACCCAAAATCACATCAAAATCAACATACTAAGTTATAAGAGATCGACTCTAGTCTCCACTCCCCCAATAGTCACCACACACGAACGATAAACACGGTCTATAACAATCGCATCTCTCACCGATGTAGATATATGAACAAGTAGGACTAAGGACTCACGAGGCATATCCAAATAACGAGTAAAATAGGATGATACATAGGAATAAGTAGAACTAGGGTCAAATTATGTGAAAGCATCCCTGTGGCATACTGAAACAATACCTGTGATCACTGTGTCTGAAGCAATGGCCTTTGGCCTGGCAGGAATAACATAGAATCAAGCCTGACCACCACATGATCATCCTCCCCCTTTAGGGCGACCTCTAGCTATCTGGGCCCTACCCTGAGCTGGCTGAGCGAGTGGTGTAACTGCTGGTGCTGGTATTATCGGCCAAGAACACTATTGTGGAACCCCACTCAGCAATCTAGGGCAATCCCTCTTGAGATGACTCAAGTCCCTGCACTCGAAACAACCTCTCCTCTAATGAAGATGCTGCTCCTGATAACCCGAGGAACTGCCTGTAGAAACCTGAGCAGACGAGGCATGGTGAGAACTCTGCACTAGTAATGCACTAAATGATGACTGACCCGAATGAGCACTGTAAGAACTGTGGATAACTGATGCACCACGATGAGCTGGATGAGCCATCTCATCGGGCCTATAAGGACGACCCATAATGTGGTGGGACAGACCCCCAGAAGAAACTCCGCTGAAACCACCCAAACTGGACTCCCTCTCTTCACGCTCCTAACTGTGGACCAACTCCCAGCCTGAATCAGATCCTAGATGATCTCAAAATTTATGTTGGATAATTCGAACATGATCCTTACGAGATTACATCTAAGATAGCCTTTTGAATCACCCAATTTGAACTTAAAATGAGAGATATATGATGTTTTGATGTTTTAAAGGAAGTCTACAAATTTTAGGGATATAAATGGTAGTTTCTTAATTATTTACACCAGAAAAAAAAAAAACAGCAATAAGAAAATCGTCGTTTTAGCACCCAAAATTCATTCGGAACCTCCCAGACGCAAAACATATATGCATTTCAATCGTAAAATATGCTACGAACCTGCTTGTGCATTCAAAACACCGAAAAGAGGTCATCTTGACCCGATATTTACCATGGTCAAACTCCAAATCCTTGACTTAACTAGTTTCTCAATCAATGATCCAAAACACACCCGAGCCCCTCGGGACCCCATCCAATCATACCAACAAATACAAATATATTATTCAAACTTATCCAAAGCCTTAAAACACCCACGGGAACATCACAACAAAGAATCGAGGCTCAAACCTAATAGAATTTCTCTTTAAGTTGTTAAATCTTCATGCTTTCAAGTGAGTGTCTGAATCACACTTAAACACTTCGGATTACTTCCAAACTTTGCACACAAGTTCAATTCTACTATATAGACCTATCCAAATTGAATTCCAATTTGCATAATCTTATATTTTCAAATTTTAATCCTCGACTTGTTATCTCTCTTTTCAACTTCAACGGTCGATTTCTGACTGGTAACACCACTAGCGTCGAAGCCGGCGACCGCCACACGACCAGGTAAGTTTTTCGTTTCACCTAATCCTCTCTCTCTCTATCTCTCTCTCTCTTTGTTCTCCCACCCTCTTCTCTTCCTACTTTCTCTTCTTCTACCGCTCCCTAACCCTAACAGTAGCCACTACTTCTAGTGACTGTTGTCCTACCGGAGACCAGTTATTCTCCCCTCCACCCTTTCTCTTCTTCTTCTATCCCGTTCTTTGCTGATCGGTATCAACATATCCCTCTCCCCCCTCTTTTCTTTTTATCCCTTGTGTGTTTTTTAGCACTTGTTGTTGTCGCCGGCGAGCCAGGTCCGACAGCCTTTTTCTTCTTCTTTTTACTTATGTTCAAGCTTGCTCGGAAACCTTCCCCCACCCCTTTTTCGCTGCATTTATCCCTTTTAGGGCTTCAAACCACCCGTGGTAGCGGTGACATCCCCCCTCTCCCCCTTTTATTTTTGGTCCTATAGTATTTTTATGTGTCTTTTAGGTAATATTCGGTGGTTGTTGGAGACGAGCAGGAGGCGTACGCGCAAACATAGAAGAGCAGCCAGGGTGGGCGTCAGCAAGGACGTGAACGCGTCGGGTGCCGCAACAATGGTGTGTATACCAAGACTCTATTCCAGGTTCTATTCTCGGGAGTTGGTACCTCATGTCCACTTGTCAACACACTTCTTTCTTTAATGTTATTTAAACGGTTTTCGTGTTAGTTTAGGCATTTATTAGTGTGCTTATTTGTTATCATGATTACGGTCTTATAGTTACATGTTATTTTATTACTTTCTGGCCCTTAAAAAATTGTCGGTTATAGTGGTTTGATTGATAATGGTAAATTAAGGACATGTCCTCAGGTGGGGTGAGGGGTAGGGCAGGGGTGTGGCAAGGGGCAAGGATGGTAAGGGGCACAAGGGAACCTTTAGGTTGAGAATTGGATCTTGGAACATAGGGACTTTGACAGAGAAGTTTATAGAATTAGCAAAGATTCTCTAGAAGAGGAAGGTTAATATTATCTGTGTTCAAGAGACTAGGTGGGTAGGGTCTAGGGCGCGGGAGGCGGACCGGTTCAAACTATGGTACTCAGGAGATAGGATGGGTAAGAACGGAGTTGGCATCTTGGTGTACAAGGACCTCAGAGAGCTAGTGGTAGATGTTAGTCGGGTGAATGATAGACTGATGACTATTAAGTTAGTGGTTGAAAGGCACACTTTGAAAGTTATTAGTGCTTACGCACCCCAAATGGGCCTTGACAAAGAGGTTAAAAGGCATTTTTAGGAAGGTTTGGATAAGGTTGTGCATGGTATTCCATCTATTGAAGTGATATTCATAGGAGGGGATTTTAATAGGTATATCGGGAAGTCAGCTGGGAGCAATGAAGAGGTGCATGGCGGCTTTGGTTTTGGGGTTAGAAATGGAGGAGGTACTTCGTTGTTGGTTTTCACTAAGGCGTTTGATTTGGTTATAGCAAATTCGGGTTTTTAGAAGAGGGAGGAGCACTTTGTTACCTTCAAGAATACGACGATGAAGACCCAAATCAATCGTCTCCTTCTTAAGAGGTGTGATAAAGGTTTGTGCATTAATTGCAAGGTTATCCCGAGTGAGAACCTCACGACTCAGCACATACTTTTGGTGATGGACTTAGATATGGTGATGAGGAGGAAGAAGAGGGTGGGGTGGAGTCGATCAAAGATCAGGTGGGAAGCTTTGACTTAGGATAAGGCTCAGGAGTTGCAGGAGAAGTTGTTGGTTGTAGGGGCTTAGAGGAGTAGTGGGGACGCGGATGGTATGTGGACGAAGATGAAAGACTGCATTAGGGAGGATGCAAGGGAGGTGTATCTTGAAAGGTTACGTTGGCGGACACAAAAGATTTTAGTGGTGGGACAAGGAGGTCCAAAGGAAAGTAGAAGTGAAGAAAGCGGCATATTTGAAGCTAGTAGAGAGCACTGACGAGGAGGAGAAGAGGACCATCAGAGAAGGGTATAAGAAGGCTAAGAAGGAGGCGAAGCTGGCGGTCATGGAGGCTAAGACTATAGGGTTTGCCTGTTTGTATGAAGAACTGAGGGATAAAAGCAAGGTCATAAAGTTGTTTCGGATGGCTAAGGTGAGAGAGAGGAAATCTCATCATCTGGACCAAGTGAGGTACATCAAAGACGAGGAGGGATGAGTTTTAATGGAAGAGGCACAAATCAAGCAAAGGTGGCTGACTTACTTCAATGGACTCTTGAATGACGAGAGGGATAGGCACATTGTGCTAGGCGATTTGAAGCACTCCACGAGTCGTTGTGATGTTAGGTATTGTAGACGCTTTAGTTTTAAGGAGGTCGTATGGGCGGTGCATAAGATGAGCAGGGTCAGAGCGACCGGTATATGGGTAGGGCTGGCTTAGAATGGCTGACTAAGCCATTTAACATTATTTTTGATGAAGAAGATGCCCAAGGAGTGGAGGTGGAGTACAATGATTTTGTTGTACATGAATAATGGTAATATCCAAAATTCTAACAATTATAGGGGTATCAAGTTACTTAGTCACACTATGAAAGTTTGAGAGAGGGTGGTGGAAGCAAGGGTAAGGAGGACTTTGTCTATTTTTGAGAACCGGTTCGGTTTCATGTCGGGACGTTCAACTACGAAAGCCATCCATCTTGTTAGGAGGTTGGTGGAACAATACAGGTATAAGAAGAAGGATCCGCATATGGTGTTTAATTACCTAGAGAAAGCATACGACAAGGTCCCTAGGGAGGTCCTTTAGAGATGCCTGGAGGCTAGAGGTGTTCCTCTAGCATACATTAGACATTAAGGATATGTATGAAGGATCTAAGACTCGGGTGAGGAATGTGGGAGGAAACTAGGATCATTTCCCAGTTGGGATAGGGTTACACCAAGGATCTGCACTTAGCCCGTTCTTATTTGCTTTGGCGATGGATGCACTGATGCATCATATTCAAGTGGAGGTGCTATAGTGTATGTTATTAGCTGACGATATACTATTAATTGATGAGACACGAGGCGGTGTCAACAAGAAGTTGGAGGTTTGGAGACAGACCATAGAGTCTAAAGGTTTCAAGTTGAGCAGGACTAAGACGGAGTACTTAGAGAGCAAGTTCAGAGACATGATGGGGGGAGCGAATATAGACGTGAGGCTTGATTTGCAAGGCATCCCTAAGAGAGGAAGTTTCAAGTATCATGGGTCAGTTATCCAAGGGAACGAAGAGATTGATGAAGATGTCACACACCATGTAGGGGCAGGGTGGATGAAATGGAGATTAGAATCTGGCGTCCTGTGTGACAAGGATGTGCCACCTAAACTTAAAGGTTAGTTCTATAATGCAATGGTTAGACAGACTATGTTGTATGGGGAAGAATGATGGCCAGTCAAGAACTCCCATATCCAGAAGATGAACGTAGCTGAAATGAGGATATTGCGATGGATGTTGCGGGAACACTGGGATAGATAAGATTAGGAATTAAGTTATTCGGGAGAAAGTGGGTGTGGCTCCTATGGAGGATAAGATGTGAGAAGCGAGACTTAGATGGTTCGGGCATATGAGAAAGAGAAGCCTAGATGCCCCAGTGAGAAGGTGTGAAAGGTTGGCGTTGGTAGGTAGGAGAAGAGCTAGAAGGCAACCTAAGAAGTATTGGGGAGAGGTGATCAGGTAAGACATGGTGTGACTTCAGCTTATCGAGGAAATAGCCCTTAATAGGAAGGTGTAGAGGTCGAAGATTAGGGTAGAAGGGTAATAGGTTATAGTGTGTTTTGCAGACCTGTTCAGGGTTTATTAGGGCTAGTCAGCTAGTACCTTTTCATTGATTTTCTGAGGGCTAGTGTTAGGGTGGTATTAGTACTATCGTCCGCTTCGGTTCTCTAGTACCTTGCGTTGTTTCTACTTGTTGCTATTAATATTGCTATTATTATTACTATCTTCCATATGTTTTTCTGGCTCATCCATTGTTGGTATCATTTTCCTGGCCTATTGTTGATATTTACTTGTTTCTATTGTTCATTTCGAGCCAAGAGTCTTTCGAAAACAGCCTCTCTACTCCCCAGGGTAAGGTCTGCCTACACATTACCCTTCCCAGACCCCACTTGTGGGACTCCACTGGGTTGTTGTTGTTGTTGTTGTAGACCTATCCAAAGTCTCGAAACACCAATTGGAGTCCAATAACATAAAAGTCAACTCTTGGTCTAACTTATGAACTCTTAATTTCTTCAAAGTGCCACTTTCGACAAATAGTGTCGAATTCTTCTAGGAACCTCCGAAACTAAATTCGAACATACGTACAAGTCCAAAATAATCATACAAACCTATCGGAACAATCAAAATCCGTTTTCGAGTTCGTTTACCCAAAAGTCAAACCTTGGTCAACTCTTCCAATTTAAAGGTTCCAAATCAAGGGTCATTCTTCAAAATCAATCTCGAGCCACTTCGAAAACCAGAACCGACCATACACTGAAGTAATAATACATCATATGAAGCTACTCAAAGTCTCAAACCATCGAATGGAACGCTAAAGCTCAAAAGGACCGATCGGGTCATTACAATTTATATTCACCGTGATATAATTATTGTGTAATTGTGTACAACTAATATACAAATCAAAGGATCCTAACTTTACTATTCAGTGCCATCCAAATAGTAGGTGTTTTGATCTGATAAATATAACTTTGGAGTGATTATAATCAAGTTATATCTTTCATCTTATTAACTCCTTTTATTTCAATGTTTTATTTCTTTTTTATTTATTTTCTTGTTTTGCCTCTCCTTCTAGATTTGTCCCATCAGACAACTGGTGAAATGAATACCCAATGTTCATGGTGTATGGGGTAAAATTGGTTGGTGACAAATGGATGAATGACGAGGTGACACGTGTAACTGGAGACAAGTAATATATGAGTCAGCAAATGGGAGAATTAGTATCTATTGTAGGGCACAAAATATTCTGTATTCCAAGATAAATCAACTCTCATTATACCAAATTGCTCTCTTTATTTTATTCTTAATATTGCTCTTCTTATTGCCATCGAAGAAGATAAACTCATAGTCAGGCTTGTATTTCCTCAAAGTTATTTTATAATCTTTTTTCTGTTATTATTTCTTTCATAGTTTTGGACCAAACTAATTCACATGTCTAAAACCCACGTTACAAATTCAACTGTACAATTTTACGGGTAAATAATTTGGCGCCCACCGTGGGGCATAGAAAATTGTGTAATTACTTTGATCCATTCATTTGTTACTAACAAAGTTTGATTCTTTTCTATTAGAAAACAAAAAATCAGATATGGTAGTTAATGATATGAACAATTCCTATAATGTTGGAGCACACAACGAACGTGAAGATGTGTTCCAACATGATGATTCAACTAGAAAAACCCGCAATATCAACCACCTCGTCGAACCTAGCACCTGATGCATTCTCTAGAGTTATAATAAAATGCAACTAATAACTGAGGCCATCAATGAACCTCCTAATCCTTTCCCTCTCTGTGGGAACCAACCAGATGGCGTGACGAGCCAACTCTGAAAATTTCATTTCATACTGGGTCACAAACATGCCCTCCTGGCGTAGCTGGTCGAACTGCATACGCAGCTCCTCCCTATAGGTCTGTGGCACAAACTTCTCCAAGATGAGAACAGAGAACTTATGCAATGAAAGTGGTTCTCTACCGACTGGTCTGCTCTTATTATAGGCCTCCCACCATCTGAAGGCAGCCCCCGATAGCTGAAAATAAGTAAAGGAGACTCCACTAGTCACTAGAATACCCGCTGTGCGAAGAATCCGCTGGCACCTATCCAAAAAGTCCTGAGCATCCTCTGACTCAGCCCCACTGAATGATGGAGGACTGAGCCTCCCTAATCTCTCTAGCCTTTTTTGATCCTCATCACTCATAACGGGACCTACCTGGGCCTGAATAACTGCAACTGGCTGGGCTGGTAATACCCCCAGTATCTGGAGTCCCTACCCCATCTGCTCTGGAGTATGGGCGGCGGGAGTCTAAGCACCTCCCCCAGCCTGAGAAGTGGCAGTTGCGGCTTGAACAAAAACTGCCTAAGCAAGGCTAGTGCAAACAGTTAATATCTAGGCCAAAGCCTCGTGAAGGCCTGGAATCACAATGGGCATAACTAGTGCCTGAGATGGTCCCACCGGCTTAACCACATCTGGAACTTGCTCCTGAGCTGGAGCAATTGGTGGGTCTACAGGTGCTGTTGTACGAGCTGCACCTCGACCTCTACCACGGTCCCGACCTCTCGTGGCCCTAGTAAGTCATCCGCTCGATCCGGTAGCACGTGTCCTCACCATCCGTGAGAGAATAGAATAACAGAAGTTTAGTTCCCGGAATCAACAAATTCACACGACAAGAATACACGAATGTAAAGTTTCCCTAAGGGTTCGGCTACCTCTCGAAGATAAGTACAAACGTCTCCGCATTGATATGCAAGACTCTACTAAACCTGCTCATGACTCGTGAGACCTATATAACGTAGGCTCTAATACCAACTTGTCACGACTCCAAATCACAAGTACCGTGATGGTGCCTATCATGATACTAGGCATGTCAACAACTCACACATACCAACATCTTAAATTCAAAATATACTGAAATAGGTTTAAGTAAGTAAGAATCTCATAAAAACTGGATGAAAATGGCACAACACAATAAAATATTTCCCCAAACCCCAGTGTCACTGAGTACATGACCATTTATGCAATAACATAGTATGGTACACTATCTAAGAAAGTAGAACAAAATAAGTAAAACTGAAAGATAGGGGAGGAGAGTCAAGGTCTGCGGAAGCCAAAACAACTACCTCGATAATCTCTAAACATGTACAACTCCACGATCAGCAACCACCGTGCCCGAAAATACCTAGATCTGCACACGAGGTGCAGGGTGTAGTGTGAGTACAACCAACTCAATTAGTATCATAAATAAACAAGGCAAGGTAAATGAAGCTTAAATTATTGAGGATATAATTATTACGGTGTAATTATGCCCTTTTAAACCAACACATAACAATATTTAGAACTAACTCATCAAGCTTCATGAGAAGAATATCCGTGTGTGCATGTGCACAGTTTCTCAAATACCCTGCTCAGACAGTATTATGGCATGTGGAGGAAGAAAACAAGTAAATCAGATAAATGATGAAGAAAATACAAGTTCCACACACTGCACGGACAACTCACGTGCTAACAATATAACCTGCACAGACAACTCCCATGCGACACGGACAACTCACATGCGACACAGACAACTCACATGTCAATATTATCATTATATGGATCTGCACGGGTAACTTACGTGCTGTACAGACAACTCACATGCTGTACAAACAATCACGTGCTGCACAAAAAACTCACGTGCCAATAATATAAATATATGGATCCGCACGGACAACTCACGTGCTGCACGAAAATCTCACGTGCCTATAATATCAATATATAGATCCGCATGGATAACTCACATGCCAATAACATAATCCACCCGGCATAGTCACAGGCCTCCAGTCCAAACATATCATACAGAAGCAATAAAGCACTTTTACATGTATATGATGAATGAAACAAGATTCTCATGTCCTTAGACTGGTATAAATGACATGCTAAAGTGTAGGCATGTGCAAAGTGTGCTATCACAACTCAATTCGGCAATTTCATCACTGAAACACATTTAACAAGTTTGTTCAGGGTTAAACCTCTAAGTAGCCTCAGCATGGCTCAAATAGATCACATAAATTGTTACAACATGTGAGATATCATAGCTTAAAGCTTAACAGTCAATTCTAGGCTTATAAGAGCCCGAGCACAACCCGAACATGAATATATAACCCCTGGTGCCTGCACATGGGCTCATCCCCACGCATGTGCGCACCCAAAAGCAAGTGGCTATCACAACAATTTAGGCAGCTGGTGCCTCAACCGAGTTTAAATACAATACTTACCTCAAGCAAATCGAATCACTCCGCTAGCAAGCCCGTGCCTCGCAAATTGGCTTCTGAACGCCTCGAATCTAGCCACAAACAATTTGATACTATCAACGCAAGCTATAGGAATCAATTCCACATGAAAATGCTAAGTTCTTAATCAAAAGTCAAAAAGTCAACTCAAAAGTCAACCCCCCAGGCCCATGCCTCGAAATCCAATAAAAGTTACAAAATCCGAACATCCATTCAACCATGAGTCCAACAATATCAAAATTACTCAAATCCGACACCAAAGAGCCGCTTAAATCCCCAAAATTTGGCATAAGAAGCTTTCTCCATTTTTCCAAAATTTTCAACCCAAAACACTAATTAAATGATAAAAACAAT